CACACACACACACACACACACACACACTACTATATATATATATATATATATATATATATATATATATATATATATATATATATATATATATACTCAAACCCCGGATATATTTGCCTCAGGTCAGGTCCAGAAGTATGCGATATCGGATCATTGCATGGACCCGATCCTGAACTGCGGTGATAGAAAGCCCGTCTTGAGAAGTACACTCTAATGAAACCACAATAATTTATTTAGCGGAATGCTAAATTTTACTATTATTGTATATACAAGCAGCAATAAATCATGCGACGTGCAGTGGTCATATAATTGACACGCGCAACTCTGTCTTACAGTGTTTGTACAGCCTGTTGGCGCTCGGAATCTGACAATTCCTGCTTCCAAGTAGCAGAGACATTTGTAGGTGTTGCAGCCGCCATCATTCTAGTATGCTATAAAATATTTCGCTGGTAGTTACTAACTGGCACAAATATTTAGACCTACATTTACACATATACACATACTTATGGAAAAAACTATAATACAAACAATATGTAGCTCTCATGTGCCAAACCCTCTTTGAAGAACCCTACCACTTCTTCACCAAAGAAAATTCGCATGACAACCACCTTAGGTGGCACGAATCCAAAATTACAATTTGTGAAGTTCAGTACATACTCTTGAGAAACAAATTCTATTTTTTTTTTTAGGGATTCATCAAAAATATAATCCCAAATTATGCAGAAATCGGGTCAATGACACAGCAAAATTCCTCGTGGGGTACTATATTTATTATTGGTTACAACATAATGAATGTATAGTTCATAGTTTATACTCTCTAAATGACATCGGGCACACACACCGCAGAAAACACCGTCCAACCCAAGCAACAATCGATAAAAGAGAAGAATAATCACGCCCATAGGTTCGCGCACTTGCACATTGAATACTCAGCCTTTCATACAGCACGCATCGTCAACTCTGCGACTGATTAATATCATAGCGAAACCGAACACATACGCCGAAAGCGTTTTAATCTGCAAATATGTCCATCGTCGACCGAATCAAAGCCATCGAAGATGACGTACGTTCATATATTGTCAGTGCAGTGTTCACTCGAGATTTTGGTTGCCTCTTACAAATCTATTTTATAACCTTTGTCATTGCTGACAATGTATAAGGGTTACAGTAACGCATGCATTCGTCACAAACTTGAGTTTGAAATTGACCTGTTGCTATGATCTGAAACCTGAAAATCGTGAGGTGTTTCCTGTAGACATGGCTTGTTGCATGTTGAGAGCGAGGGTGTATGTAAAAGTCGCCACCGTATCTTGAGCATCAGCGGGGTATTATGATTATTAAACATCCTATAAATATCAAAGGTGGTATGTCATCCGAGTCGGAACGATTTAAGACGTCATATTATTCGCGTGTCTTCAAATTATTGAGTGGTGGATGTCTATCAATTAATCGCAGTATGTTCGGATAGTAACATGTGCTGCGACCTGAATTTCATTCATTAGATGGCCCGCACCCAAAAGAATAAGGCAACGTCGCAGCATTTGGGTCTTTTAAAAGCGAAGGTTGCGAAGTTAAAGCGTGAGTTGATTGAAGGTCCAAAAGGTTCAGGTGGTGGTGGCAAAGGGGAAGGATTCGATGTTGCTAAATCTGGTGATGCTAGGATTGGATTTATCGGTATGTAGCTTCTATGATGTTCAATTATAGAGACACAGTATTGTACTGTTCGACAGTTGAGAAGTGTTTAGAGCGACCATTTGTGCAATTCAACTATTGTTTTAACACATCTAGATCTTTCTAAATACACACACACACACACACACACACACACACACGTACACACACACACACACACACACAACAATACACACACACACACACACTA